GGGTCGCCGCGCCGACTGGCAATGGGCACGAACGTCTGCGGGCTGCCTCGTGCGTTTGTGCGGCTTCGCGCTGCGCTGATGCTTCATGCGTGCAGAACTCTGTCTCTCTCTCTCGCGCACGCATTGTCTCCTGGCTGCGACCAGTGACAGATGGGTATGCAAGAGTGCATCGTCTTAACCAGCACTTTTAGTATCAAATCAGCGTGAAGAATCTCTCTATCTGACTTGGATATGAAACACATGACAAAGTCATCGAAAGCTGGTCATCTTTTAAATGATAATCAAAATGTTAAGAGGCTCTATCTACGTACTATTTCAGTACCTTTACCACCTGAACAGTGCATGAAAAATAGAAGTGTAGTGGTTTGACGCACTATTTCATACATGTATATACGTTATAAAAATTTATATTGTTGCATTTCTAGGATAATCGCACAGAGACATGAATCTTCCAATATAAGTGCGCCAATTTATTAGTTGGCAATTGAACCCCTACCACAATCATCGGTTACCTTTAGACGACTTCACATCGAACTTTTCATCATGAATTCAGTAATAACGATATAATGAGTTGATGCTATTCGAGCGCGATTGTGTCACATGCGAAGTATGCCAATCGCGTGACCGCTATAGACTCCCAATTTTTCATATTTCAAATATTTGTTTGAGTTGATTAATAAATAAATTTAATATAAATATGCTCTAAACGATGTGTCTATCCTCCTGGGACAATAATCCACCTCTATAGCGTCTTTTTTTTTATTTTGGCGTTTGACGGTTTTCTTAAATAAACGATTCAATTGATAGAGAAGATGGCATTGGCCCCTGACTTGACAACACTCATCGCGTCGTTGTATGGCAGATTGCCTATATCGTTCCCGCCAGCCCACGTAGCCTTCTACCCCATATTACAACGTTTCCAATCTAAAAGCTTCAGAAAATTTGTAAATGCTCCTTGGGACGTAATGAACCAAGACTTACAAATGACTATACACCGAGACTTACAAATGACGACAATAAAAGAAGAAATTAACAAGATCAGCGCAAAATACTTACGACTACATATCCATCAGCATATTCTTGCCATTAACTTACTAGACAATAGTGACACCACCAGACGACTTAAACGATATCATACTTTAGACCTGACATATTGACTATAAATTGTTATATTATTTTCTGTTTTATTATTATATATGTTTATCATCGTTTACTTTTAGTATGTTTAGTTTAGTTATCAAATATGTTTAGTGTGTGTTAATCTGAAAAAATGTAACATTAAAAGTACCTTACTCCTCTCATGTTATTAAAATTGTATGTAATTTTGCCAAATGTTTATACCCAAACAAATTAATAATTTTCAAAATAAAATATTATTATAACAAAAATTTGCAACTGTAATGAACTTGTTTTTGAAGCATTATCGTGGCTTGAACAAAGCATTTAAGATTTTTTTTAAATAAATTGTTTAGCATTGTTTGTTTCTTTATGTGACTCACTGTGTATGCACAGAAGCAACTTCTATACTTCGATTTTTCTATAGTAGCCAATGCCATTATATTATTGTTTCACCTTCAGCCTAATACAATATTTGTTTTAAATAATTCGTGAACTTCTTTCTCAAACGTGCTTGTGGCCTAAGAAATGTGTTTATCACGGTAGATATTATAAGGCAGGGTGTGTAATACTAATCTAATGGCATCGTCAAATATAAAAATATCGAAGTTGGAAGCGGAAAAGATTGCTCAGGGCATCAACTGGGTCCTGGCATCAACTGGGTCACTGCAGTCCATTTGACCGGGAGGTCCTAGGTTCGAATCCCGACGATTGCAGGATATTCTACACTAGCTTGTCAGCTAGGTCGACCTCATTCGCTGTCTGGAGAAGAATTCTAGCGGGCATCTGCTCTGATCGGTTTTTCCGTAGTTTCTCCGATCGACACCTGGCGAATGCCGGATAAGTACCCTAATAAACGGGCCACGAACCACGATCTTTCCTACCTGTTCCTTGTCCTATTCTCTCCCCTTACAAACACACACACACACACACACTTTCTCTAACATGTCCTACACATGCACACATGCTGGGAGGCCGGTCGGGAGCTCCGAACTTTTCCCGGCTGGGGCAGTGCCCCGCTGGTGAGAGATACCTGGCTGGGGAAAACCCCGCTAGCCGACGGTAGGTCGGCGCCGGATCTCGCCACACAGCGAGCGAAAGATCACCGCCACCTCCCGAGCAAAAACAAGAACTACACTTACTGGACTAAGGACCATGTTATTTGACGTGCCCGGAATCACTAAAACAATCAATCGATGAATCGAAGTTGAACACTGCTTAACCTATTATGCGTCTGCCCGCAGGTGTCGTGGATGCGCAAGCGAGACCTGCACATCCTGACGTCCAACATCTTCACGTACACGGGCGACGCTCGCTTCGGCGTCATCCACCCGGAGGCCTCGGACGAGTGGAACCTGCGCATCGAGTACGTGCAGAAGCGCGACGCGGGCATCTACGAGTGCCAGGTCAACACGGAGCCCAAGATCAACATGGCCATCTTGCTGGCCGTGGAAGGTAGGCTGTCCCCGCCTCCCCCCCCTCTCTCTCTCTCGGTTTCTCTTAATTTCTCTTTCTCGAACTCTTTGTACTTCTGTCTCTGTTTCGCTCCCACACACACGTACTCTTTCTTATCTCTCTTTACTACATCGCTGGCTGGCTGGCGGTTTCCCTCCTTATCGTGAGTCCCGGAATGGCAGACTTTTCACTGGTTTTTATTTCGCTCTCTGGATCGCCCGCCATTATTAGCCGCTGCGGCTGCGGTGGCTATGAGGGGCCCTGGTGCCCCGTCCTCCAACGCCCCCCCCCCTGTACCCCACCCTGAGGGTGCGTTGAAATGCTCCGCGGTGCTGATGCAGGTGGCGCCCTCAAAACGTTCCGCCCGCCCTCGCCCCCACAAGCCTACCCAGCCAGCTCCTCCTTTACCGCCCCGAGTCTCCACTTCTCGCAGAACTCAACCTCTCCCACCCGCCCCGCTCCTACCATATGCGTTCTGCTCTTTCCTTATTTGCCCGTTTCTTCCCTAGCTCGTCTCATACCCGATCCTCTCCTACTCGCTTCGCCTCGATACACCCCTACCCGCCCGGTTCTTTCCTTGCCAGTCCCGCTTCTTCTCTACCAGTACC